TTGATCTCCAGCGCATTGTTTTCCCGTCGCGAGGCTTACCCGACAATCAGGAGCTGACTGACGGTGTCCTCGCAGTCCGTACGCAACTCACTGTCTCAGATGTGACAGTGACTTATAGGTGATTGTCAAGCACGTACGCATATGGCCTGATTGGGTGCGTCACATGCTGTGGCGAACCTAAGTGGTCCATTGAGAAACTGCGACCAGTTGGCACGTACGTAGGCTCGCGTGCGTGCGTGCGTGTCCGGTTTGGCTCGGCCAGGATTTTCGCTGGAGAAGGGAGGTGGAGCATTTCAAACTTTTTCAGCCGGAAATAACAAATGCGTTGATCTTGAACCCCGTGTGAACAGACGCGTTGTCATAATGAAACAGCCAGTCCCTCGGTCGTCACAAACCGTCACGCCGCTTTTTTCATTTTCTCATGCAATCGCTTCGTCGCTTGAGGATCAAGCTCGGCATTGAGGACCCCTTGATCAAGTGCACGGGAAGTGTGTCTAGCAGACGTACCTGGGGGGAGGGGGGGAGAGCAGTGCTCATTTTCCTTCAAAAAATATTTCACGCTGTTTTGGGTACCCCCTCGCACCCGAACGGCGCAGGGCCTCAAGTGCTAACATAATGGAGACTAGAATGGCCACTTCTGGCCGATTAATCGTCCTCAGCCGAACATACCCAACCCTGGTTGGTGCACCAACCGAAGCTCAAACTCACGGCATTTTTATCAGAAGTCTAACGCTCTAACGGGCTCGCTGTCTTGCCGATTCATATCGGGCATGGTGAAATTCTTTGATGTTCAAGGGTTCACTTATTTTTTCATTCAGGGTGACGTTGGCAGTCCCGGTGAGCCTGGCCGACAAGGTATGGATGGTCCTAAAGGTCTTCCTGGTGATAGTGGAGACCGTGGAGACCCCGGAGACTACGGTGTTGGCGAACCAGGCTTACCTGTAAGTTTTCCACTTATTTCCTCCCTGTTATAAACAAACCTAGAGCGGATTGACTTTTGATATAAAATTTCTGTCAAACATATAGTTATTTGCGAAGTAATCTTTAGCTTTCTTCAGCAGATATTAACTAAGGGGGTTGAGAGCCACATTGCTGTTGAAGGGCTCTGCTTAAGCATCTGACTGGATTTCACTCCGGACGTATTAGACTGCAACGTTATTCTGTCTACAAATATATATATACATGACCAGCTATGGAGATCGGCTGCAGCTGACGTGGCCTTTTCATAGTGGACTTATCATGACAGACAGACGTGCATGCTCTTAGAGACGCTGCCAACAGCAATATCAGTCACTCATTCCTTTTGAGGCAGGCGATTTAAAATTCCGGGTTCCTTCAACTCAAATCCAATTTCTTTCCGTTTATAGGGTGAGAAAGGAGACCGCGGCGAGATGGGACCTGAGGTTTGTTTAATATATTAGCCGATAAGCAATACTGTAAAGTCATTCGAGTTAGACTGGTATAAACGCTTGTTCTATTCTTCTAAACTCTAGGGTGAGAAAGGCTACCCTGGACTGCAAGGACCTCCTGGTCCGATGGGTGACACTGGTGATCGGGTAAGCGCTCATCTGCTTTTAATTTAATTCTTGTCTTCTGTTTGGCTCACTGTGAGATCTGAAGTTGTAAAATAACAAAGGGAAATTGAATTGGTCTAATTATTCAAAGTCTCTGACTGTCTATCTGGTCTTACTGAACTCTGCTCATGTTCTGACATTGTGTAGAAAACTATGTAGCTATTTTAACGTAAGAAGGGAGGCAACATCAGCCTGCCACTCGAATGCTCCCTCATCGTTTTATAATTTAGTTACCATCAAAATACGACACTACTTGCTGTGACGCTGTGATCCAGCCTCAGTCTGAACTGGATGGCACTAAAGTTACCGCCTAACACCCTGACTGGGTGCATTACCCATATTTCCTGCCCAAAGGGATTGCTTTAGCTCACTTCATGAACACACCCATAGGAAATTACTTGAAAGCATTTAACCATGTTCTTTTTTGGCTGGCCCTCTCAAATGGCTTTATTAAATCTTAATTTTAGGGACCTCCTGGACAAGTAGGTCGCCCCGGTCCGCCTGGTGACCCCGGAGACTCCATTGTTGACCATGTGCCCGTCAAGGGTGAACGCGGTATGCCAGGCGAACCCGGAGAACCCGGTCAAAATTGTACAGCCTCCACCCTCTATCCGCCCCCGTTTGACACCTCTGGACCGCCCGGTGATCGAGTGAGCACTTTTACCCTCATGAGGGGAAAGTCGACTTACTCGGAGAGCCTTCCTAATTCCTCTTGGTTTTTTCTTTCAACAGGGTGAACGTGGTCCGAAGGGCTACCCGGGTCTGAAAGGTGATGAGGGCGACCGTGTAAGTGAAGGCAATTTTCTTTTTTTCCATTTGCATATAATCACTTGGGGATCGCTTCACCTCCACTTTTACATGTATTATTCTAGGGCATTGACGGCATGATGGGAGAACGCGGTCCTAAGGGTAAACCCGGCACGCCCGGACCATCGGTACGTATCGCAACGTGCTTGGCATGCTTGCTCCTCCCTGGTTTTTAAGAAGAGCTAGGAAGAGTTTCTTTTCAAACCATAGCCCGAAATACTAACAGAAGCAACTTAACTAGAAATGTCAACTTTGAAATTTAGATTTGATGTCCTGGTACGGGATATTTAGTCCATTTTGCCAGCCCCCTCCCATCCTATAATCAGGTACATTAATATAAAATATACCAATTATTCCGATCGAACGGATATCTGACGAGTTTCGTGAAAAACTGTCTCCGACGTCAGAGACAATCAGAAGATCACAGCTCCAAGGCAGAAGTGGTACAGCAGACATTCTATTCCTCATCCTACATGCACGGACTTTCTGAAGTGATCGCCCGACAATTAAATCGACTCGGCCTCAGCATCGCTAACAAGCCAGTGTTCGTCCTGAGGGCAGCCTTATCTCGCATTAAAGACAACATACCGAAAGAGCACCAAACCAATGTGGTTTGTTGAATTCCGTGTACTGATTGCCTTAGCGTTTACACAGGTCATACAGGTTGGAAACACGGGACCTTAATACATGAACATCAGTTGGCCATCCGTATACGTGACCCATGGTCTTTCGTGTTCGCGCATGCTATTGATACTGACCAGCGCTCCAATTGGGATGGAACTGAAGTGGTCGCCACGGCTAATACAAAAGAGGCACGAGAATTTCTCGAAGCTTGTCATTCCGGCACACACGGTATTAACAGGCATGTGGATCTTGATTCACAATACGCTAGTTTGCGCACATGGTCAACGAACTAGCGCCCCGCCTGAAATAACAACAGTCGATCCGTGCTCAGCCACGTGGAACTTCGCTGAATATGGAGCTCCCCCGAACACGTGGCCCATAATCGAGACCTTCACACCCCCCTTTTAATCGCAAAACCTATCGCAGTTGTACTCACGTGACCCTACCCCTTCCTCCCGCACCTTCACTCCTGTTCCATGTGACCACTGCCTCCAAACCCTCTAGTGCGGCAATCCCACCCCTCACTTTCACTCCATCTGATAAAGGGCTAATGTCACCAGCTCGAAAATTCGCGAGTAAAACTCCATTTTCCGACGAGCCTTCTATTCATGAAAACCACTGTTTAGTAAATAATACATTTGATGTGCTGATCTGTGTTCGAAGATGTCAAATAGCACAACATTCAACAACAAAGTCTGCATAATCATGCCAGGTATTAATGTTCCTTTATAGAAAACATTCTTCCCTTCGATATTTGTTTATTAACCGCTAAGAACTAATTCCTTGTCGAAGTGTTTTCCCCTCTAGTGGCTAATTTCACAAACTATAAACAGGTGCTTCCAGAGCTACTTTGCAATGTTCACACTAAATTTTCAGTCATTTCAGTAAGTACAATAAAATGAACATAATTAAGTGGAGATTATGAAAACTGCTCAGTCAACTGCACAAGAGAAAGAAGTCGAGGCGTCCTGTAAATATTGTCACTTTGTTGCATGCCAGTTTATGCCATAACTCCTCTGACCCTGTCACAACCATTTGAGTTTCGTTTTCCGTCTCATTTCACTTTCAGGGACCCAAAGGTGATAAAGGACGTCAAGGCCAGCACGGTCCAAAGGTAGGTTTTAAGCGTCGTATAATCCTAGACCGGGGAAACCTGCCCTTGCTAGGGAACTCCTTCACATGCCCTTTGCCCCTAACGCTTCTCTCCTGGCCTTTAGGGTGCGCGCGGACGAGATGGTCTTATAGGTCTTCAAGGACCTCCCGGACCCAAGGGTTACCCTGGTGAGCCTGGCGAGGACGGTCTGCGTGGCATGCCTGGAGAACCCGGCGAGCCCGGAGTAAGTAACCTCCATTATTTGATTGGCCCTATGTCATAAGGCCAACGCAAATTGCATGCTTATAGCTGAATTCATTCTGTACAGGTCGG